TACTAAAACTTAACTTACATAATATAATGTAACAATAACTTAAAACTAACTTAGAAAAGATAAAAAATATAGTGTTGTTATATATATATATTTTTTTTTTAATAGAAGATTTAATAATTAGATATTAAGAAAATCTTAAATAATATAAACTTTATTTAGGAAGACAATGGTAGCAGATTATCATTTTCTAGAAAATCATCACCAAACTATGCATCAGAAAATGGGAATTCGAGTAATAAGGTTTTAATGCAAGAAGATATCAAAAAAGAAGAGAAAAGAAAAACAGAAAAAGTTATTAAAATTTATAAAATTATTCTAAATCTAACATAACATTTTAAAATAAATTGTAAAATTTTAACATTTGTTGATGATAACATCTTGGAAACTATTCAAAAATTGAGCCCTATTTTGCAAGGAGTTCAAAACTTTTTTATTAATTTTTTTTTATCTTAGAAATTTAAAAATAATTTAAATCATTAATTGTTATTTTTAGATAAAACAAGAACCAATTGAATTTTCTTTTGAAAGTAAACGTCCTAAAACTGAATCACCACAACATTCGTTACCATCGTCACCTAGTCCACAACCCATTAAATTAGAATTAGCCCCACCTAAAATAGATGATGATTCTGAAAATAGTGAAGGAAATGCTGATGCTGATAACATTGCAATGGAAATGGGATTAGCTTGTATTGTGTGCAAGTATGATATTTTTAATATAATTTTAATCTTGAATATATTTGAACAATTAAAAGGTATTAGATGTTTACAGATTAATGCTTAAATGTAATTTTAAATAATTTTTGTTAATTTTATGTTCTTACAAAATTACAACATAATCTGATTTTATTTGGTTTTAAATTATAGTTTTTATATTAAAACTATAATATTTTTACCTTTAAATTTTTGAATTGTTTAAAAGTTTTTGATTGTTTTTATTATTATATTCTGGATTTATAAACCATCACTTATGAAGTCAGAATATCATTTTATGAAGATGTTCAAATATAAAGATAAATATTGAGCATTACAAAACATATTTTATAAAATTTTCAATCTTCTTGAAAGTTCTTTTGTATTCTTATATCTAGACAAAACATTTATTACCATAATTTATGAGACTATAATAAGCTTATTCAATAATGAAATTTTTCTTGTAAATTGTTATCCTGGGCAATTTTAGAAAATTTATTAATTTGTGAAGTTATATTTTCTCTCTCTCTCTTTTTTTTATAATATATTCTATATCAGTGCTGTCCATAAAGTTGATTTTGATTGATATACTTTTTAATTAATTACCAGAATACATTAATATATTCTTCTCTAGATAGCAGTTATCACGAATTCTGGCTGTTAAAAATTTATATGATAGAATTCAAAGTAAGATGCTGCTTGCATTCTAATTTTATCTAAAATACATTTATTCTTTTAAATAATTTTGATTGACTAATTTGATGAATTTACAACTGACATATCCATATATACTTGGACCTAATATAATGCAGGTTTGGGATTCTAAAATGTAAGTTTGCATTATAAATGAATGTGTTTTATCAAATTATATTAAGAATTAAAATTAAAAATCAATCAAAATAAAATTAAAATCCAAATCAGTAACATATTTGAAGAAAATAATGAAGAGAAAACAGAACATTGAGATGGGAGGTCAAATTTATAAAACCAGAAGGGAATATAGTAGAGCATTTGTTTTGTTTTTCAAAAACAAACAAACAAATTGTAACAAGCTATAATTTATTGTGACATCATCACAATGCCTGGTTGCAATTTTTAATTTATTTAATTTAAAATACATGCTCTCCATCCCAAATTAGTAGTATCTTGCCCCTGTACATCATACTTTTCTTGTTAGCAATAGAGTCATTCTGGTCATTCAAGCTCCTTTCAGGGGGAAATTTTTGAATTGAAATAATGTGACTTCTAGTTTGCATTGTCAAGTTCATAATAATATATAGTTAATTGGGGACCTCCTGCTCCTAAGCTTTCCATATCTGGTCTCGACTTTCATCTATCTAACACCATTCTCAAAATTAAGGAGAGACAGACAAATGGACAACAGTGGGAATTTATAGGTCAACAATTTTTTCAAATTGCAGCCCGAAAACTATTCAGAATTTTTTTGCTTTGAACAAGAATAACAGAGTAGCTTTGAAAACTGTTGACATAAAATACAGAAAATGGTAACAGTTAATTTTAAAAATATGAATAATTAAATATTTGTAAGTAATTTTTAAAAATTTATTTTACAAACATAACATGTAGCAAAACTAAGTAAAACCATTAAAGCTTTACTTCAAAAGATAAAGGACAAACCAGTTTTATATAAATTTATTAAAAATATTATATCAATAAAAATAGGAATTAAATAAAAATCTTAAGACATGATATTATACAAAAGCAAATAACTTTGGTACTAAAACAGTTAATTGCAATACAAAGGATTGTCATTCAATATACATGTGAAAATTATTGATATTCTGATCTAAATCAGTGTTCAAAATGCAATGTTTTTCACACACAGCTTCTGTGTTGCATTTGATTGAGGTGTAACACAGAGGCTATACATAAAATAAATTATCTGACAGCAGTATTTGAGTTCAACCTCTTAACATAATTTAATCAGGTCACAAGTGTTAATATGCTGCATATTTGTGGCGTAGTAAACACTAGTATTGTGTTTTATTCCAAAGACACATGGCAAATTTTCCATCAAATTTTCCATCAACTAATAAAGAAATTTGATGGAAAATTTGCCATGTGTCTTTGGAATAAAACACAATACTAGTGTTTACTACGCCACAAATATGCAGCATATTAACACTTGTGACCTGATTAAATTATGTTAAGAGGTTGAACTCAAATACTGCTGTCAGATAATTTATTTTATGTATAGCCTCTGTGTTACACCTCAATCAAATGCAACACAGAAGCTGTGTGTGAAAAACATTGCATTTTGAACACTGATTTAGATCAGAATATCAATAATTTTCACATGTATATTGAATGACAATCCTTTGTATTGCAATTAACTGTTTTAGTACCAAAGTTATTTGCTTTTGTATAATATCATGTCTTAAGATTTTTATTTAATTCCTATTTTTATTGATATAATATTTTTAATAAATTTATATAAAACTGGTTTGTCCTTTATCTTTTGAAGTAAAGCTTTAATGGTTTTACTTAGTTTTGCTACATGTTATGTTTGTAAAATAAATTTTTAAAAATTACTTACAAATATTTAATTATTCATATTTTTAAAATTAACTGTTACCATTTTCTGTATTTTATGTCAACAGTTTTCAAAGCTACTCTGTTATTCTTGTTCAAAGCAAAAAAATTCTGAATAGTTTTCGGGCTGCAATTTGAAAAAATTGTTGACCTATAAATTCCCACTGTTGTCCATTTGTCTGTCTCTCCTTAATTTTGAGAATGGTGTTAGATAGATGAAAGTCGAGACCAGATATGGAAAGCTTAGGAGCAGGAGGTCCCCAATTAACTATATATTATTATGAACTTGACAATGCAAACTAGAAGTCACATTATTTCAATTCAAAAATTTCCCCCTGAAAGGAGCTTGAATGACCAGAATGACTCTATTGCTAACAAGAAAAGTATGATGTACAGGGGCAAGATACTACTAATTTGGGATGGAGAGCATGTATTTTAAATTAAATAAATTAAAAATTGCAACCAGGCATTGTGATGATGTCACAATAAATTATAGCTTGTTACAATTTGTTTGTTTGTTTTTGAAAAACAAAACAAATGCTCTACTATATTCCCTTCTGGTTTTATAAATTTGACCTCCCATCTCAATGTTCTGTTTTCTCTTCATTATTTTCTTCAAATATGTTACTGATTTGGATTTTAATTTTATTTTGATTGATTTTTAATTTTAATTCTTAATATAATTTGATAAAACACATTCATTTATAATGCAAACTTACATTTTAGAATCCCAAACCTGCATTATATTAGGTCCAAGTATATATGGATATGTCAGTTGTAAATTCATCAAATTAGTCAATCAAAATTATTTAAAAGAATAAATGTATTTTAGATAAAATTAGAATGCAAGCAGCATCTTACTTTGAATTCTATCATATAAATTTTTAACAGCCAGAATTCGTGATAACTGCTATCTAGAGAAGAATATATTAATGTATTCTGGTAATTAATTAAAAAGTATATCAATCAAAATCAACTTTATGGACAGCACTGATATAGAATATATTATAAAAAAAAGAGAGAGAGAGAAAATATAACTTCACAAATTAATAAATTTTCTAAAATTGCCCAGGATAACAATTTACAAGAAAAATTTCATTATTGAATAAGCTTATTATAGTCTCATAAATTATGGTAATAAATGTTTTGTCTAGATATAAGAATACAAAAGAACTTTCAAGAAGATTGAAAATTTTATAAAATATGTTTTGTAATGCTCAATATTTATCTTTATATTTGAACATCTTCATAAAATGATATTCTGACTTCATAAGTGATGGTTTATAAATCCAGAATATAATAATAAAAACAATCAAAAACTTTTAAACAATTCAAAAATTTAAAGGTAAAAATATTATAGTTTTAATATAAAAACTATAATTTAAAACCAAATAAAATCAGATTATGTTGTAATTTTGTAAGAACATAAAATTAACAAAAATTATTTAAAATTACATTTAAGCATTAATCTGTAAACATCTAATACCTTTTAATTGTTCAAATATATTCAAGATTAAAATTATATTAAAAATATCATACTTGCACACAATACAAGCTAATCCCATTTCCATTGCAATGTTATCAGCATCAGCATTTCCTTCACTATTTTCAGAATCATCATCTATTTTAGGTGGGGCTAATTCTAATTTAATGGGTTGTGGACTAGGTGATGATGGTAACGAATGTTGTGGTGATTCAGTTTTAGGACGTTTACTTTCAAAAGAAAATTCAATTGGTTCTTGTTTTATCTAAAAATAACAATTAATGATTTAAATTATTTTTAAATTTCTAAGATAAAAAAAAATTAATAAAAAAGTTTTGAACTCCTTGCAAAATAGGGCTCAATTTTTGAATAGTTTCCAAGATGTTATCATCAACAAATGTTAAAATTTTACAATTTATTTTAAAATGTTATGTTAGATTTAGAATAATTTTATAAATTTTAATAACTTTTTCTGTTTTTCTTTTCTCTTCTTTTTTGATATCTTCTTGCATTAAAACCTTATTACTCGAATTCCCATTTTCTGATGCATAGTTTGGTGATGATTTTCTAGAAAATGATAATCTGCTACCATTGTCTTCCTAAATAAAGTTTATATTATTTAAGATTTTCTTAATATCTAATTATTAAATCTTCTATTAAAAAAAAAATATATATATATAATATATAATTGGAATAAAATATTAAAATTTTAATTACCTGTTTTGGTGGTCCAAATACACTTCTAGAATCTTTATTTGTATTGCTTATGACTGCTACATTTTGTTTCTGTGCTAATACATCGTCTAGAAGTAGTCTTAACTGTTCGGATGAATCTTTAGCCTTGGAATGTAAAAGTCTCAATGCTTTTGTAAATAATGGATCAAGTTCTAAAGTTGCCATTCTTCTAATAAAGAAAATTTGTCCATTTGTTAATATATTATAAAATATTTTATTAATTTAAATAAAAATTGCTATTCCCTATATAATATTAATTATTAATTTTAAGAAATTCACTGTATTTGCTAATGTATAAATTGATATTTTAATTAATTATGCTAGGAATAAAACCTTAAACTCTGGGTTTTTTCACTTATACAGTGAGTATAAAATACTAACCTTACCTAAATATTTTGGTAATCATAACCTAGAAGTTGATATTATATTTCAATATGATGACAAGTTTTATACAAGCTACTGATAATCGTTTTATTTCTACTAAAGTACATACAATAAAGTACTATTTATACATCTCCCAATGAATAAAACTGAAAAAATATATTGTATAACTGAAAAGACATATAATTGAAACTTAATAAAAATGTGCCACAGGATGTCAGAACTAATAGGTTTTAAGTATTTGTTGATAGTTCAATTATAATATTGAGTTTACAAAATATTACAGCTTTTAATGTTTATCTTTTATTTTATATTTTTATTATAAAAACAGTAACACTTTATTGAACATTTTTTTGAAATTGCAGTAATCAATAGTTAGAGACATACAATTCATTTAGGGTAAGTAATACAGTTATTGGCCACTTAAATTTTTACTTTCCTGGTTGTTATATATAAGAGGGAAAGTATGGTGATTGGTCAAAAAATTATCCCCAAGATTGTTTATTTTTTCTTGAAAAACAATGGAATAGTATTGAAAACAATATGCAGCATATTAACACTTGTGACCTGGTAGAATTAGGTATGTTAACAGGTTGGACTCAAATATTGGTGTCAGATATTTTAAATGTGAATGTAAAAATTTATGAAAATGGAAATGCAAAACATGGGTTTTTTCTGTATGTATGGAAAATGGAAATGCAAAAATGGGTTTTTTCTGTATGTATGGATGTTTGAGTGTGTGTGTGTAGACGGGAACAATTTTGTTCACCTTTAAAGCTTAATAACCTGTGCTTTTTGTTAAAAATTTCTGAAATTTTGCAGAGAAGTTTGTGTAATAAGCCAACTATCAGATTATATCGCCTAATATAATAGCTCTATTTTATATTAAAATAATGCTGGATGAACTATTCAAGTAATTACAGCAACAATAGTAATATTCTAAAAATTTTTTAATTAAAAATATAAGAACTTATTAATAATGAAATGTCTATTTTTTTATATACTCATTGTAATTGTAATATAAGTTGTATTATCTAATATAAAAAATCAACATAATTGCTTAAATATTTGTTTATTTACAGTTTTGTAAACATTAATGTACAAGGGTTACATTATGACTACAAGGGAAACTTTGTGATATCACACTAGAATGATTTATTTTGAAAATGATGGGTTTATCCTATTTCAACAAATACCAACAGCCTGTACAGTGTTGTTACTTAACAATAAAGCTGAAAACTTTGTGATATTTTCCACTATTGGCATTCCTTTTGATAACTAAGAAATTAAGTGGTATATGAAGTTGTAAAAGTTGTAATACTTTCTTCATTTGCACATAATACACATAATGTATCAATTGATACTTCATAATACATCAACTGTTTTTGTTCAAGAAAACAAAAACAGTTGATGTATTAAAATTATGTTTAAGTTAAAGTATTATTCTTGCTTATAATTATCCTAAATAAAAATAATTTTTATTAATTGGTTTAGCTGATGTAAGCTATAGAAGTAAATTCATGGAATCGTCTTTGTGACAGTATACGAAAAATATGATAAAAGTGTAGGGAGAGAAATTGCAGAATTATGAGATGCAGAGTGAAATAAAACATCCATTATAACATAAATTTAACCTAGAAGACAAAAAAAATTAATTGGTAATGAGCAAATATTTATTTTGACATCATCACAATGCCAGGCTACAATTTTTATTCATATTTTTAATTTATTTAATTTAAAATATATGCTTTCCACCTTTAAATTAGTAGTGTCTTGCCCCTGTAATCATACTTTCCCTTTAGCAATCAAGTCATGTCAGTCATCTAACTCCTTTCAGGGGAAACTTTTTAATTGAAATAACATGACTTCCAATTTGTATTGATAATTCATATATAGTTAGTCAGGGCCTCCTACCCTTAAACTTTCAATATCTGGTTTTGGATTTCATCTAGATGACTCCATTCTCGAGATTAAGGAAGGAAAGACAGTGGCAATTTATAGGTGTACAATTTTTTCAAATTGCAGCCCAATTATGTAACCGTAATTTATGAAGAGTAACTACTCTGGAATTATAACAGAAATGAAAAAGATGACGTGCATGTAAATGCAATAAAGCCTGTTGGAAAATATTGGTCGTGGCTTGAAGAAAAAGACATTAAATGGCTGATTTGCTATCTTGAACATTTTATATTTAGTTCTGTTATTCTTGAAAAACAATTTTTTACATTTAATATCATTTTAACAAGTTTTAGTTTTATGTTTCTGGTAACAATAAAAAAATAATAATAATAATAAGATTTAGTGTTTATTAAGGAATTAAAATAGCTTTTTCAGTGATAATTAACAAAAGACAGTATTTCTAATGAATGATTTTTATTCCTCCCTTTTTCTTTCCTACTAGCAATTGCTTCAAGGTAATGCTGTGACATGGAATTCACAACAGATCTATGCAGCAAACAGGCTGTCACAATGTTATTCCAAGTGACAGAATAAAATTGTGACAAATATCTTTTGCAATAATGTTTAAAACAATAAATTAACAATTAAAAATGCTATGTGTAAAGAAACGAAAATGTTAAATCTTGCTAAAATGACAACTAATGGTATATTTGATCCATTAATCTGGTAATTAACATTAAAAATGTCACAAAGTAACTCTGGTTCACTGGTATTTTAATTAACTAACACTTCAATTTGAACATTACTATATAAGAGAAATACAGAGAAATATATAAATATATGTTACACAATTATGTTGACCAAATTGCTGCTTCTATATACTTATTTTTTATATAAACTTGGTACATAATACTTACAGACAATTTTAAAATCCAAAATTAAAACTGGAAGAGATAACTAGTAAAATGAAAAGCATTTACACCTTTCCAACAAAAAGGAGTTTATTTGAAACCTCAGGCAGGTTTATAAAGTAAACTGAAAACATTTGTTCTTTAAATCCCTTTTGCAAGAAAAGTGTGAATGGTTTTGATTTTACATAATACTCTTTTAAGTTTGCATACTATATAGTGCAATATACACAGAGATTGCAAGCGTAACTTGTAACTTAACCCTCAACAGACAGCTAAGGGTGCAACTATGCAAATGCAAGCAAGCAAGAATATGTGGCGAGAAGAGACAAGACGCGATAAATATCACTGTCAGATATGTGCGAGAACCAGAAATTCACTCACGCCAGCGAGATTTCTCACTTCTCATTTGTGCATTGTTTTCCTTTGCATGAACTATATTGCTCGCACCCTCTCGCTCGCTTCTAAATTCGCATCTGCATAGTCGTACCTTAAGTGTATATTCGTACAGTCGAAGGAATTAAACTAATGTGTTTACCGAACTGGTAATAAAGTAATAGTGATAACTCTAGCATTTAACTATATATATAAAATATCGTTCGAATAGATGATGCGACTCTCGATTATTACTGATACGCTGTGTATGATTCGAACGTGACAAGATTCGGCCACTCCTGTTATACAACGTTATGTAGTTTGAATGAATTTGAACTTCCGAGTCCTTCTGTCATGCAAAACAAACTATAACACTGATTAGACTAAACAATATCTTAAAATATCGTTATGTTTTCTAGATACATTGAATAATAACATTAATAATTCTTCTAAATATCTATTGTATATTAAAAAAAATTAATTAATAATCGAAAAAAATATTTGTAAATAAAACACACTAAAGATTTAAACTTTCCTACAGTAATACAGGGAAAAAATCAATAACATTACCTAAAATTTAATTTCCGTTTATAATTTTGATTCTTTTTTTAGACAAAATCATCGATTTTACTTCCACAGCTTACCGACAGCCACTCCGAAATTGATATAAATTCCACGGGCACCGATGGTCACGTGATATTGTCACAGTGTGACGCTGCGACGAACGGATAAATTAAGAACTAGTGTTATAAACAAAGAAATACTTTTATATTTTAAATGGAAGAATAATAATAATGATAAAATAGTATTTTGCTATTTATTGCAGAAGCTGTGAGTTTCGATTCATTTTATCTCGTAAAAACAAATGTTTCTGGGTGTTTTCACTTACGTTATGAAGAATTATATTATATACGTATTATATGTGTTATAATAATTTTTAAAAAATTTGGTTTATTTGGTTACCACGACGCGAAACTTTGACGATCTGCTTAAGGAGGATGCCACTTAGGAAGACTTTCTATGAAAAACTGACTCCTATTTAACGTTGCCACAATGAAATTTCAAAACGTACTGAAGCTCCTTCAAAAAATGTACTATTTTCCTTCAAAATGCACTATTTCTATGGTTGGTTACTTTTAATATTAATATACCATCATACTCAATTTTTGTGCTTATTTCAAATTCATATTCAAATTCATACTTTGTTAAATATGAATACTTTAAAATTAAATATTTCATAAAAAAGATTTTATGAAAATAGTTTCTATGATTTTTTGTTAAATACAGCATTACAAGTTGATTTTTTAAAAATATTATAGTGATGGATAAAAAAAATTATAAATTAAATATGCGTGGACAGATTCAAATTAAAAAAGTTATTTCTTTTACCAAGATTACTAAAATTGAAATTCATAATTAAAAATTAAATTATAGTGGTTGAAAATAATATAAAAGTATTTATGTATTTGTACTGTACAATTTCAAAACTATTTCGTGTAATAATTATGGCTATTTGGATATTATTGATGACAAAAGTTTAAAATCATTGAAAAAATTTCCTTATCTGTCCATTACTTTTGTTTGACAGAGTTGAATTGTTTGGACCACGTGGCGTGAAAAATTTTGTCAAGGTTCTCGTGAGAATGTGACACGTGTGAAAAAGGACCACTGAGTCATAACATTTGCACGTGCAACTATCTGTATGTTGTTGATGTAGATGCGACTAAATATCGAGATGGCACAACGCACTGATTGGTCGGCTGAATGACGTCAACCCACCGAAATAGCAAATGCTGGTCGATTATATTTTGTGGTCGTCAGAACGAAGTCACGCAGAAATAGATTATTTTTTTTAGTTGTAATATTGAGTGAGTTTAAAGTAAAAATACAGTATAAAGTTTAGCTCGCATGTTTTCTTAAATTTATGGGAATAATTTTAAAACGGTTACTTTTACTTAATAAATTACTAAGATTATTTATTTTTTGAATGACGTTTAACTTCATACTTGATCTTTATGTACTGTGCCAAATCATACACAATAGATAATTTTAATAGTGCGATTAGTGTTTTAAATTTAAATATACGTGCACAGATAATGAATAACAGAAAATTTATACTTTGTTACAGATATTATTTATAAAAAGTTCGAGAAAAGATGAAATTTATAATTAAGACGAGACAGAATATTTTTTGAATTTGTCACATGCATTTAATATAGTTAGATGAAACAATAAAATTAGCTATGTTTTGTATACCTCTGAAAGAGAAATTTTCACAAATCTTGCTTAACAAATTATAAAGTTTAAATGTAAAAGTTATTGAACAGTTTTGAATAAAGAATAGACCTATTATCCATAGATTACTCTGATCAGAAAATTTTTTTAATGCTTTAGTTAGGATTGCCAGTTCTTTCTATCAATAGATATTTTGTGCTTTTGAATGTCAGTTCAAAATCTGTGTGTTAAGAAACAACACTTTTCAAATTTACAGAAATTTCATATATCCAGTTCCATCATGGATATATCTGTAAATATGTTTAATCAAATTTGTATGACCATTTTTCAAATTAAAAGTATAGAATTCTTGTATAAATTATTTAACAATCAATAATACTGTAGGTATTTAAATTCCTTTGAATATGTTTTAAATAAGAATTTCCATACATTTCATCATGGAAATTGTTTATCAATATAAGTGCCAAGAAAAAGTAATGTCGCATTTGTACTGTAATGTTTTCATAGTAAGCTATTTTTGTTTGTGTTGCGAAGGAAAATATAAAGCGAAGTGATATTCAGTGTCTATATTTAAGTTTTCACAGGATTTGATTTGAAAAGCAAACCAATGGATTAGAGAATTTGTAGAAAAAATAACTTATTATTTAAAATGTTTTAACAATTATGCATTAAAAACTATGAATTATATTTAGGTGAAAATTATATTAACTAATCTGCATTTCCACTTAGCATATTCTGTTGTAATATATATAAAACATTAAATACAAGTTTCTGTAAGGTTAAAAATACTGTATCTATATGCAGTACTAGCAGACCCCGCCATGCGTTGTTGTGGCTCAAAATGTATCTATTATAAATGTATAACACTTCCCCCGTGGGGGGAGGGAATTTTTCGAAAAATCCCTTAGTGTACATTTTCTTGACGTACCCTATTAAAACGCAATCAAAAACGCAAAAACCCGCATCTAAAATAGTATAAATAGAAGCAGAGTTCTTGAAGTACAGTATACAACAGTTAGTAAAGTTATTTCTGTTGTTGGCCTCATTGCAAAAGCTCTGGAAGCAACAAACCCCACAAAAATTGGAAAAAATCTAAAAAAGACCTGTTTCAATAATATCGACAAAACGATTTTGTGGCATAGAAAAGAATATGTTATACAGTGTTTCTACAGTGTTAGATTCCAGATTTAAGAATTTAGATTTCAAAAGCAAAATATGTGCTGCAAATGCAATTTCTTTCATCAATAACTATCTATCCTGGCAGATCAATTAAATATGAAGTAGACTGTGTGGAAACCTTAAGTGAAACCATTAAAAGCACAGATGAGAATAGTCTATGGTCATATAGGGAAATTAGAGATCCCATAAAGTCTAAAGAAGGTTTTTGTACTACATTTAAAACTTACTTAGAAGCTGTAACTATACCACACAATGTTGATCCTCTTGTTACATGGCAGTCAATGTTTGCCCATGTCAATTATCACCTTGTGAAACTGGTTGTTACATATTTAGGTATTCCAGCAACCTCAGTACCTGCAGAACGTCTTTTTTCAAAAATTGGAAATATTATTACAAAGAAACGATGTGCATTGCATCCAAAAATAGTTGAGAAACTTGTTATTATGAGTAGCTTTGAGTTTAATGATATACTTTCTTTACATTATAGCTTGTTTTGTAATATTGTGTAAATTTACAATTACAAATTAATAAATGTTCTATAAAAATGTGAAACCTGTGAGTGGTCTTTTTGCTAACAAGTATTATTAAAGATAATAGTGTTTATAACTTAATAAACACTATTGTTATTAAAGGTGTGGTAATCGATTGATAATCGATTATCATATCCTAATCGATTTCTGTAATCGATTTTCATTTTTAGGTAATCGCCCAGCACTATCTCACATCCTGCCGCCCATTATGGATCTGGTCTATAATGGTTTTTTTTCTTTTTTTTGGTGGAGCTTTTTTCTTTTTGACTCTTTCTACCCTAAGAATATTGCGGCCGGATGGCCGAGCGGTCAAGGTGGCAGCCTACCGCCCTGGGGAACCCGGGCTCGAATCCGAATGGGTCGAAAAATCCCCAGGAATTTTTCGGGTGCGGTCCGTTCGGATATGTCGGGCCCCGTCCCTCACCACCCGGCAGCCCCATTGTGGGCCTGGCCGAACCCATAATGCGCTTTGCAAAAAGAGGCCCTCTTAGTGCTCACAGGGCGGAAAGAGTTTAAAAAAAATCCCTAAGAGTATTAAGAGATAAACCAATAACGGGTCTAGAGCAGGGATGGGCAACCTTTTTCTATGTAAGGACCGCATTTTGAAACTTTTGAAATGACGCGGGCCGCATAACGGAGGAAAGAGAAGAAAAATGTCGGTAAATCACAATTATTTATTCATATATAATTATAAATTAGCATAGGTATATTTAATTTAGCTTATGGAACTGATGTAAACGTAGTATATCGGAAATTATTTGGTTAAATATTAGTCACCGCTAGCTTTAAATTAGTTTCGATGTGTCTGTTAGCCGGTTTCTTGTTCTAATTTTTACTAAATTCATTGCGGGAAAAACTATTCACATACATAAGTTGTAGAAAATAACGTTTGAATTTTTGCTGCATACTTCCTTAAGCTGGGAAATTGATATATTTATTTATATTTTATGCGATGAGGGCCGCAAAAAATATTAATGAGGCCACAGGTTGCCGATCCCTGGTTTAGAGGAATGGCACCCACAGAGCGGACAGAGACACAAAATCAGGCTGTTCTATTGTGCTCGACGTCCTGCTTGAAAATATATAATAAAAACAGCTTTATTTCACAATGTATGATCTACAATTTCTTTTATTTTTTATTGTTTTTTTATAAAAACTCTATACACATTTAAAATTTGTTTTGGATACCATAACAATAAAACCAGCTTCATATTCACAATCCATGGTCAAGTAAGACAGAGAATTTATTAAACATTGGCTAAGTGCACAAACATGTAATGGTTAAGTTTGGATTCTTGATTATGAATATAAATGTTAATGATATTTATGAGAGAAGCTAGTAGTTGATGCAAACTTCAAAGCTCACATCCACTAGTGGCTATANAACAAGAAAATTAAATATAAAATTAATAAACTATATTTTAAAAATAATATGATGTATTTTTATTCGACGGTGTCGATGGTTGTTTTGATTTTAAGGAAGTGTGGCCGCGTTATGGAGTCTGTAGTAGGAAAGATTTAAGTGAAAGAAAATGACTAATCCCATGTTTGGTGTCATAGTCTCTGGACGGCTGGTGGGTTAATACACTTATTAATATAATACATGACGCTTATATGTGATTATTTGTGCTCTTAAAGAAAAAAATGTTTTTGTTCTCGGTAGAAGTTACTTTTAGTTAATTTGTCTATAATACATCTTTACTTAATTTATCTAAAAGTACTCTGTTACTCTACTACTCTGCTACTCTGTTTCTATTGTGTTTAAATATAATATTTTGATTCTTGATTAGAAATGAGCAAGAATCTCTCTATAAAGAAACTAGGCTTTATTGGAGTGAATTTTCAAATATTTAAAACTCAAATGCTTTTTTAGCCTTCATTTGGTTGCATTTGTTGGCTTAATTATTTGTTTTCTGCAGCTTATTTCAAGAAGAATATAATGTGTAACAGAGCCGTAGGAAGGGGGAAGTGGTTGCCATGATTATGACCGTGGTCTTCTAGTTTCTTTATAAAGATTTCAATTTCAATTATTATGTAGTTATTTCAATATATCTAAATCTCCCTGGATAGAGATATATGTTGTTAGGAAGGAAAAAGTGATACCTTAGTGATAACCCTTCTCCCCAATGAAAAAGCCTATTGTTTTGGTCTGTGTTGTATGCTAGTGGGTGTTTTGAAATTAGAATTTGTATTTGTAATGTTGGTGGCAAAAAGTGGTTCGGCTGAGGTGGGACTAGCCAAACTTATTCCTATGGCCTTGTATAAACTCGAGATCAGTCGGAAGTTTGAAGGGACGTGAGTTTTAAACGTTCGATGTTCTCTTCAATAAAGCTTAATTTTCTTATAACTCAATTGGAAATTTCTATTTCTTTTAAAGCTCAATAATTCTAACTAATATATATAAACTTTAAATTGATAAGTATCTACTGTATTGAAATATTAAACTATCTTCTTTTGCCATCTACTTATAAAGACGTGATTACTAGATAATACATTAATTAAAGAAAGATGGGAGTAATTAATAATTTTATTATATATTAAAGAAGTTAAAAGTATATTAGTTTTCATAAATGTTTTGTTCATATGTATTTGTATGAAAGCTTTTGAAAATTTCTAGTCTAATTAAAAGGCTATTTTTGGTTTTACATGTAATTCTATTTTTTTTTTCTGTATTTAATTTTTAGCAAATGAAGACTTGTAATTTTACATATGCCATTAATTAGGGCTCTAGTACTTAAATTCATTCTTTTACTCTCTTAAAAATTTAGGATAGAAAAAGAATGGACAGTTATAGGTTTATTCACAGTAAATTTCTTTTTTATTAGATAGCTAAAGTTTTTAATTGATTCAAAGATTTCCATCTTTGAATCAATTAAAACAACTCTAAAATTGAATGAGATTAAATTGATAGCATTATTAGGAGACAATTATTTATTCTTAGTCAATGTCAAGAATTTTAATGAATAAATCTTATTTAGTTATTAATTGAATTATGAAATACTTTCTACATAAATTTAAATAATCTATTATTTTCTTTTTTATAAAGTTTATTGCGGTTTGATCTTAAGAAATATGATCTAATAAAGATAAAATACTCTTATTAATTTCACTGGTGTTAAATCCAAAAAGATTTTTGAAGTACTATATAATAGAATTCAGAGAGATTCTTCATTTGTGTACTAAATGCAAAATCTATTCCTTTTTTATTTCTGTAAATAGATATTCATTTGTAAAATGCTTTTCTGTATACAAATAATTATTATTCAAAAATTTTATATAATAGAGTAGACAAAAATTTTAGATCATTCTTCAAATTGATAACTTTGTACAGTAGTTTGGTGTACAATACTAATGTTCTAGCAATTCCACATTACTGTTTGGAAGATCGTCATATCATAAAAGGTTATACTGGTGGTAATTTTTTTTTCTTTATATAACTAATTCTTGCTGTTTTATTTCAGTGATTAAAGTGAATTTTCTACTTATAAAAAAAAATTTGAATGAATAACTTTTAATCTATTTAATAGAAGTTTGATAGAATTCTGCCTTGTTGTTTTATCAATTGTGTATTTATTCTATATAACATTAAAATGAACTTTGCTCCATATATTAGTCTTTCTTATAAAGCCTTATAAAGTGCCTATTTACATTGGATTAAAAGTTTAGATAGCTAATTGCAACAACAATTTTTATATATGAATAAAAGGAATTTGATTAACTTTATTCTCTTGAATATAATATAATAGATTATTCTAACCTTGTAATTAGTACTAATATTCAATGTTTAGATAAGTGTTTTAGGTTTATCAAGCTTAAAGAAATAAGGGGAAAAATAATATATAAAGAAAAAACAAAAAAATAAATTATTAATTTATTACTTGATATAAAATAATTGGAGAAATAACAAATAAATGCTACATTTTGTTAATTCTGGAATGTTCTTTGAAAGCCTTGTCACATTATTGATAACATTTCTTGATACTTCAAAAAGTCAAAAATATTAAATTGTAACATTCTACAAGTTGATAATCTGTTATTAAATTATCAAATAATTTTAGTAGAAAACTACTATTATTAATGAATGACCTCAAATTAAGCTTAAATCCAGGAGAAAAACATATTTACTCAAAAAGAAGTGATTTCAATAGCCTTCAGCTATCATTGTCAGATTCTGATATAGTTATGAAGTTACGTTCTATTTTTGAACACTATCAGAACCTGATGATGATAGCTGAAGACTATTAAAAATGTTTGTTTTTGGGTAAATAACACATTAAACTGGATAAATTATGAAAAAGTTATTCAGTTTTACTGATAGTTGTATTCTATTATTAATTGTATGTGTGAAATTTGAAGTGCATATAATTTCATAGAAGAAAGTAACCCTTTAAAATTTTAATAAATTTAAATAAAAATTCCTTTAAAACTAGAGGAAGTTGCACCTGTAGAAACGAAATTTGAGGGTAAATAAAACACACTAAAGATTTAAACTTTCCTACAGTAATACAGGGAAAAAATCAATAACATTACCTAAAATTTAATTTCCGTTTATAATTTTGATTCTTTTTTTAGACAAAATCATCGATTTTACTTCCACAGCTTACCGACAGCCACTCCGAAATTGATATAAATTCCACGGGCACCGATGGTCACGTGATATTGTCACAGTGTGACGCTGCGACGAACGGATAAATTAAGAACTAGTGTTATAAACAAAGAAATACTTTTATATTTTAAATGGAAGAATAATAATAATGATAAAATAGTATTTTGCTATTTATTGCAGAAGCTGTGAGTTTCGATTCATTTTATCTCGTAAAAACAAATGTTTCTGGGTGTTTTCACTTACGTTATGAAGAATTATATTATATACGTATTATATGTGTTATAATAATTTTTAAAAAATTTGGTTTATTTGGTTACCACGACGCGAAACTTNTAATTATATGTGTGAAATTCGAAGTGCATATAATTTCATGGAAGAAAGTAACCCTTTAAAATTTTAATAAATTTAAATAAAAATTCCTTTAAAACTAGAGGAAGTTGCACCTGTAGAAACGAAATTTGAGGTGCATGAGAAAATTATAACTCTTTCTATTTAACTATAAACATTCTCACGATCAATTCGTGAATAGTTTACAATTATCGACGAAATTCGTCATATTGTTGTCATTCGAACACCAACTTTAACCCCACACCTGCGAAAACAATTGGTCACCTGACTAATTTTTTCCGCCAAAATGGTATAAAAGCCCGACACATTCCCCTCCTCGGGGGAATCGCCGAGCGTCGAAGTCAGACATCTCCTCCTCCATTGCTGCCCTACACTCCCATTGCAGCCCTACACTTTCGTCGCCGACCTATACTTGTGTCACTGCTCAGAATCCATAAAGGACGACATTACGGGAAAATATCCCATTAGTATATGCAAAGAGGTATGAACGATTATTATTGTAAACTCTCTCTCTCTGCAAAGTCTATGAAGTTTTGTAAGATTTTATTTAGTTAGTTAGGTTAATAAATCGTTGTTTTTTAAATGGTGTCGTTACTCGACTTTGCTCATGCCTTATCGTTGACCCCTCCGACTCTCCTCCACTCGCGTAACGCGTAACCGAACGTTACTACCATCCCTGACAAGAAAGTAGGTCACCGGGAAGGAGAAGAAGTCCCAACCTCTCCGGCGGCTCACATATGTGTTTAGGTTTTCTTTGTGACAATAGATAAAAATGTACAAACAAAAAAATCTCCTTTCTTAGTAAAATAGTAAGAAGAAATGGACAGAATGATTCATGGTGAACAATGATACATTAATTATAAAGTCTTCAAATGTATCAAATGGCCGTTAAGTAATAAATGGTTTTTAGTAGGTCCGCTGCTCGTTTAAACTTAATGGTTTGTGAAATATCTGCTATTGGTCTAGATTTGACCAATCCTGTCACGACACAAGTCGGCAATGACGTTTTACCATATTATACGAGTCTCTTTTAGCGTGTTTATACACGAATACAATTGCAATTTTTTCGCCGTTATATATGAATCCATATTATATGAACCTGCTTTTTAGGGGGATCTACTGTAAATAAATTTTTCAATAATGGTTTTATCAAACATCATTTTGGATAAATTTATTAATAAAATTAAAATATCAGCAAAAGGCATGAGAAAATTAAACCCATAAGCCAGTGTGACTCATAACATCTACTAGCAAAATAATGTAGTCATTAAATTATTTATGGAAAATAATTTAAATTTAATACTGTATTTACCATTATAAAATTCAAAATAGACTCTTGATAACTAAGTGAAAAGTCTAACCAGAAATTTTCAAATTAATGAAATTTTGAGTTATGGAAACTACCATTACTGTAATAAGATTGTTAACATCACAATACAAACAATATAGTTAGACTTAAATATCTTTCCCAAATCCCCTCTTGTTTATCAATGGAATGTAAAATTCCTTTCCAATTTTTGATGTAATCTTTGTTTTCTTAAATTTATGGATTTTTATGTACTTCCTTATTTTGAACTAAACATTCACACCATCCAAATTTCATTGTAAAGTTTGAATTGC